TCCTGCTTCTTGCCAGGCGTGCTCCATTCTCCAGCCCACTGTACTGTGCTGCTCTGTGTGCAGAGTGATAAGAACGACGATTCTCTCCCAAATACTTCCAGTTATATTTTAGGACCCTTTTAACTCCTGAACTGGAAGCATCTCCTTCCCAACTTAGACTCTTGACCCAAGCGATGTGGGATGAGGAGTCCCGCCTAGGTCAAGCAAGCAAACCTAGGTTCATAAGGTCTAGTAACCATGGCTGCAAGTTTATGCATAACAAAGAAGCAGAATGTGTAGGTTGCCTTTTATTACTATTTCTTTAATAATAACTCATTTCAGTCTACTTTGGTGTGTTTCTTTTTCTTTAGAAAATATATTTATACAGCAAGATGATTTCATAGCCTGCCGAAAATAATAGCCTCATTTTTTTTTCTGATGTATATTATATACAGTAGATTCTTGGACCTGCTGCATTTGTCCAGATTTCTTCCTCTCTTTTTGTTACACTTTGTCTTCGAATGAGGTCAGAGAAAAAAAAATCATTAATATCTGTCAACTTCCTTTATAACCTTAAGGAAAAATCTTTGTATGATATCACACAGACAGATTTTCAATTTCCTTGTGTAATAAACAGATGCTTTAGGATTTGGATGTAATTTAAAGGTTTAAAATATCACATTGAGATTGATGAATAAATCAGTTGTGAAGACAAAAACATTGATGCCTGTTGAAAATACCTCTCCAGACAGGCAGGAAATGAAATTAGTTCCCAGTAAAGTGTGGAGATGAGGATCACTGTTTAGTTCTGCTGCAGGCCTTTTAGGACTTGCTACAGTGGCACAGCGAAACTGCTAGGGCTACAGAAATCTAATTAAAGAGCAAATGTCCCTCCTGACATCGAATTAATCTTTATCAAGTTCCCTATTTTTATTTCAATCTGGAACAAGAAAATGAAATTTAAAATTCTAGGCATGTTGCAAAGTAGTTGATGATTTTCTCTTGAGCATTACAATGCAAAAACATTCGGCATTGTTTAATTAGACCTTGAAGCACTCATTTTCTTGCAGCACTTTTTATTTCATCATTGTTTGTTAAGGACTTACATAAATAATACACAAATATTTACTACACGTCTGGTACAAGGTTGTCTCCCTGTGTGGTACAAATCTATATTTACAGGGCTTTTTCTGTTGATGAAAAAAAAAGCTGAAGTAATTATTGTTTACTTTTTAAGCATGACCATAGCTTATTGGTCCTTCACAATGAATTCAGGTTTCTTAAATTGCTTAGCCTTACAAGGTAGGCTTTGAAACACTTGCGTTATTGCTTTTATCGTTGGGTCACAGCAGCCCTCAGCTGGGCTGGGCGCAGGGTTGTGCTGGGTGCTGCCCACAGGCGGTTAGTGCCCCGAGCGCTCCTGAAGGAGCCAGCCCCGTCCCTGCCAGCTGCACGCTGAGCAGGCAGGCCAGATGCAAGGGAAAGGACCATCCCCTCGTTCTGCAGACGGCCGAAGCCAGAGACCCGGAGAGGCCGAGCTCTGAGCCGCATTCCCAGCTTTAGCATGGAAGTCCCAGCTCGGTCAAAGTTGGCATCTCCACATGCCGTGCTGGAAAAGAGCCAAAGCGAGCTGGTTGTGGGCACACCAAAGTCAGGAATAAGATAAGTCCCCACCTGGCCCTGTGCTGGCATTTTCACAGCAGCATCCGCCCACTTCTAAATTACTTATTGGTCCTGAGAATGAAAGAAGTGGAACTGTTGATAATACATGGGTGATTTCTTCCTGTGATTTTGAGGAGCTAATTTCTGCTACAAGAGTATCTGTTTACTTGCCTGCTTCTGTACAGCAGCATGGGAGCTGCTAGCCCCGTCCATGCTAGTTTTGCTGTGTATCTGACTGCCTGATGAGAGAGCACTCAGGGGCTTGGTCTACCAGGTAAACCCAAGCGCCTAGGGCAGAACATGTTTCTGTAGTTAATTTCCTCTTCCAAATAAATTAGAAGAGTCGTTGTGGGAAATGTTTTGTATACAGATGATGATGGTTGTGTACAAAACCATTTTTTCTGCCTTCTGTTCGCACAAAACTCACATTAAAATCATTGGGAAGTCTTCTCAGTTACAGCTTGCTATAGAGGGTGGGGGTTGTACATGCAGTCTGATGAAATAGGTTTAGAGCCTAATGAAAAGGCGATGTACAAAGCACAGTCATGTTATGTGCATTTACTTTTATCTTGTTAGCAGTACATGTATATAAGTTATATAGCAGGTAGAGGATGAATTCAGTTCATGAAATTGCCCTCTATTAATACTGTTTTTCCTGGAATCTCCACACAAAGTGAAGTTTTAGAAAGTATTTTAAAGTGCTGAAGTGCAGCTCAAGATATTCTCCAAATGGAAGAGAATATGGAAGAAAGTTGTGAAACGTGCATTCACTTACGACCTAGGCTAAAAACTGAGGTCGGTAGAGCAAAGTGACAGCATATGAGGAGACCTGCTAGAGCAGAGCTCTGGAAGAAAACCTGGAATATAATGCAGCAAGAAAGGAGAATTTGAGGAAGGAAGCAACATGTTATATTTGAAGGATGATCATTCTTTGGGAGGGTGAGGACCAAGCAGAAACTGAGAATACTCGTTATCTTGCATAAAGGTGGTATGGCAGATGTGTCAATCCTGCGGCTGAAAATTGCTCTATCCAAGGCTCCTGTTGTAATGAAGATTGTTTATATGAAGTAATCACCCATAAATGACCTGAATTTCAAACTAAAAGTTATGAGCTTTAATCCTATCTATTCTATACAGGGCTTGTGGATTTTCAAAGTAGGTATTTTGGATCAAACTCAGTTTATTATTTAGCAGTTATGCCTCCTGTTAACTTGAGTGGGAATTGCATGTCCATGACCCAGGAAGGAGTGTGAGCTGCTTTTTTTTTTTCAGCAGGCACCAGTTGCTTTCCTACAGAATTCAAATCTTTATACCCAATATAATTTTCCTAGTCTTACAGAGAGACAGAGTATGTTTGGTTATCGTGATGCACTGTGGCAGTTCAAGCTGCACTTGAAATTCTGATCGTTCTTCCGGTTTCAAAACACATCGTTAAAACATCCTAATATATTGAAAGAGCTAAAAATTGTTATGACTTTTCACATTATGTGTATTTAAGGAAGCAGGTTAAATATATCTTTATGTCTTTCACTTCTTTATCTTCTTGATTTAAAAGGCAAGTTATTTTGTGCTACTTTCACTGCATTAGTCCAACTGCAGTTAAAAAGCTTTGGTTGAACTTCTGTTTTGTTGAGAGAGAAGTACAAATAAAAGAAGCAGCAGATGGTCCCTTTGTGACTGAATGAAGAAAAAGGGGGTTGAGAACAATATGTGAATAGGTGTAGTCTAATAAAACAGTCAGCCACCTGCTGCCTGCATCCTTCAAAAAGATTCTGTTGCATGTTCTAGGAATTAATGAGTAGTGTGTATCCTTACATTTAATCTAAATGAAAGCTGTAAGGAATAAACAGACCTTTTTGCTCTGGTGTTGATTAAGTTTTTCTCTTGGTTTTGAATTATTCCTGCTCTTCTCCTGCCCTGTCTATGTCTATGTCTGACTGTAATAGCTAAGAATTTGGTGGTGGTTTATTTTTGAAACCAAAGAAAGTTTCTAAAATGTAGAGAGTGCCTATACATTTTTTTTCTATTCTAGACTGAGAACTACTATTTTTTTTAATGTTGCACCCAACCTGTTGCCTGGTTTACATACATTGTAATGTATATGCGTTCTCTCCTAGGGGTTTTCTCTTCAGCCTGATTATCAGAGCATCATCAATCCAACATCTACAGCTGCACAAGTTGTTACCCAAGCAATGGAGTATGTTCGTTCAGGGTGCAGAAATCCTCCAGCACAGACTGTGGACTGGAATAATGACTACTGCAGTAATGGGTAAGCAGCTGGTGAATGCCACCTTGCGTTGAGCAACCTTCATGACACAGGCATCGGAGAGAGCGTTTGGAAACCGCGTTGTTGCCTCTTTCCGTACAGCATTTTAGAAGTGTGTCTGTGAGGGCTTTGTATTTACTCAGCAGTTAGATTACTGTAGGAAAATAGGATTTCAATACATACAGCATTAAAATGCATGCAGAATGGTTTTTGTGTGGCCATGTTGCTGTTCCAGGAACTGCTGGAA